TATTATCAATTGTTGCAAAATTCTATTTCTTAGTGTGTGTTATTTATTTATCAGTAACAACAAGTTTTTGACCAATGAATATAAATTTTAGTTATGTTTAAAAAAATAGTTGCAGAAATGGAACGAAATAAAAATAACTAGGACTCGAAAAAATAGGACCATTTTGAATGTTTTGAATCTTGCAAAACCTTTTTGAATGTAAGCAAGAATGTTGATAATTAATGGACGCAAGAATTAGTGGAGCTTTGGATAAATTAAATGATAAAATGCCTTTAATTACCAAGCTATCGACATTAACAAAAGATGCTTCTTACAATCCAATTTGTAATGTATTTTTGCGTTCTTTTGAATAGCAAGAAAGAATATTTGGAACTGTTTGGATATACAAAAAACTGCAGAATATTGAAAACTGCAAAGATTTGGTCACATGTATGCAATGCTAATTAAGATCTATAGGTTTGATTTGTGAAAAAATGCTGAATAAATATAAATGCAAAATGGTGTCTGGTTTAAAACCTCTTTAAAATACGAAAAACAAACTGCTAATTATTTTTTGCAACCATTAAGCTATTTAACAGTGGGCACAATGATAGTAATATGCATAAAAAATAAATTACATATTCCGACGTATTGAAATGTTGGCTCCACGTTCGCTTGTGTTGGCGCATATTTATAACACTGGGCTAAGAACATGTGTACTTTTGCTCCCAGGTGCAGAAAATTATTATAGAAAAATCGAAAAATTCAAATCATCATTTTGTACATTGCATTTTTTAATAATTTAAATGTTTCATTAAATTTAATTAAACAAACTTTTTCAATGAAGTTCCTCTACACAATTTAGGCTTTTATGCAAACAGTCAGGTATGAAGCCACAAACATTTCAAGATGCATAAACAATCATTCATATTATAATTCGCACATACAGATAAACTTAAGTTCAATTTTTCATATGGCAATATTAATGGATGCAAACCCACACGCATATTCAAGAAACCGACAAACAGACAATGACAGCCAACAGAAACCACATACAATTATTTTGCGTACAATAGCTAATGTCCTCACATGTATAACATTCACACATACAGAATCACACACACAAACAAATTCACATACAAACAAACACACATACAAACATCCATCTTTTCTTAGCTCTATAATTCATAGTCCCATTCTGCTTTTTCTTCACAAAATTGTTAATTCTGTTCACAGTGTCCTATTTTAATATGATTTATATTCAAGAATCAGTTTGTTGTCTTGTTTGATACAGACTTATTAATTTTGTGCGCTGCATACGTGAGGCATGTATTGCACAGATTTACATTGTCTCGTTAGAAGTTTGGATGATTTTTTTTCATGAGAATATTATAAGTAGCTCTATATTTGCTCATCCTTTGCAAAGTCTCATACGAAAATAAACTTTCTCTAACAAAATAATTATTGAGATTAGTATTATCTTTACACTTTTCATGAACATTTTTTGATATTGGACATACGATCAAATTATTTCAAAATATTTATCTAGTAAGCTCTTAGAACACTAAATTCTGAAAGCAAAAACGAAAGACAGTTACTTCTTTATCAAATTTTTCATCGTTCACTCAGTAAAATTCGAACAACTGAATGAAGCTGTGTGTGTGTGTGTGTGTGTGTGTGTGTGTGTGTGTGTGTGTGTGTGTGTGTGTGTGTGTGTGTGTGTGTGTGTGTGTGTGTGTGTGTGTGTGTGTGTGTGTGTGTGTGTGTACAAGAATTAACAAGTCCGCTCTCTCTTTTTGTTTGTTATTTTGATTTTTTTCCACTTGTCTCTTTTTTTCCATTTCTCTAATTTTTTCATCTTCCATTTCTTTTTTACGTCTTTTTCCTTTTCATCATACTCTTCCAGCTGTCCACGAAGAACAAATGCAGAGGCATTAATTGTTGTTTCGTTACGAAGCATTGAAGCGTGAATTGTTATAGTGGTCCCCGTGGCACGTACGTAACATGCAATGTTAATCGTCACCAGACAGGTCCACACATTCGACAGCGCAATGTTACTCTCTCTCTCTCTCTCTCTCTCTCTCTCCTCTCTCTCTCTCTCTTTCTTCCCTCTTTTTCTTTCTTTTTCATTTTTTTTTCATTCCATTTCTCTCTCTTTTCTCTTTCGGTCTTCCTCTTTTTTTTCATTTTTATATCTCTTCTTAACTCACGAGATTTATAAATTCTCAGTGGATCACAATTTGAAGCTGGCGAATTATAAAATATAAAAGCAAGACACTAACGAAATTTTAATGTCACTAAAATTTTAATTTCAGTAGAGTTTTCATGATAAAAACAATGAAAAAACAATACAACTAAATTGATGCAAGTCAACGAAAACCTTACAACACAAATTATTCAGTTTTTAATGACATGAAGCCCATTAAATATAATATTGTATTAAATCATTGTCGAGGATTGTGGCACGAAGAACGTCATCTTCATGCTACGAATGATCAGTGGACGAGCGGTTGAAAGGAAGAAAGACTTGTTTTATATGTTTCGTCGATTACTCCAAAGCTTTGATAGCGTGAAACACGTGGAGCTTATGGAAATATTGAAAAATTTGAACATTGGTGGAAAAGACACGAGAGTTATCAAAAACCTCTATTGGGACCACTAAAGAGTAGCGATGAAAGTTGGCAACAGGATGACTAGTTTTGTCAAAATAAAGAAAGGTGTTAGGCAAGGCTGTGCATTCTCTCCAGACTTGTACAATTTCTTTAGTGAGATCACCATGAAAAAGGTAGAAGATCTACCTGGAATATCCGTTGGAAACGTGAATATAAACATTGTAAGATTTGCTGATGATACAGCTTTTATAGCAGGCTCAATGGAAAAACTGCAAACAATTGTTTCAAACTGGCTTTCGAAAATGAAAGGAAAGGCTTGAAAAATAACATCAACAAAGCAGAGTGCATGGTTTAGCAAAACCGCTCCGATCTGCTCCATAATCATTAATGGTTGACAGGTGAAAAAACTCAACAACTTCAATTATCTCGGAAGTCTGATTACTTCAGATATAAATGCAATACGGATATCAAACAAAAGATAGCTATGACATAAGATGCATACTCTAAAAGGAAAAAAACATCCTCACCAACAGCAAAATCAGAATATCAACAAAATTGAAACTGTTAAGATGTTACTTTTTTCCTGTGCTAACTTACGGCTTTGAGTTCTTGACGGTATTTTTTCAAAATTTCAGGTGGAATCACATGACCCTTAAAGCGTTGCATCGATAGATTTAAAATAAATTAATTCAATAAATACGTCAGGAGCAATAATAGCTTGTCGGTTTAGCGAGACTCTTAACATATATCATACTTATCCGGGCAGTTGGTGATGGATGCACATTGTGAAACGAATTTGTGATGATGCTAAAATGTTGATGTAATATTTGTGTTGTAGCGATGTGAAACGAATTTGTGTTGATGTGATAACTTTGATGGTATGTTTGTGTAGCTAATAGTGATGTGATTAATTCTTGTAATGTTGATACAATATACAAGATACAATGTGCTTGTGTTGTATGTAATAATGTAATATGGTTAATTTGATAATTAATGAAGTTCTGACAAATTATTAAGCGACAGATGTGATGTAATAAAATGATATTGATGTGATTATCTATTTAAATTCTAAGAGTATTATTGTTACACAAGTAAGTTGTATTTAATGTCATGACCTAAAAAACTACAGTGATGTTATATGGTATTGATATTATTTCCATCTTGTGGTTTTGAAATCGCTTCTAAGTGGTGCATTAATTTTATAACCAGAGACATGTAAAATAATGTGGTTTTAATTTTTGGATAAAATTTCTTCATATATACTAAGTTTTGCAAATTTAACAAACCATCAACACAACAACCAACAAATGAAATCATAATAATTCAGACTATACAAAACAAAACGATCGAGGTACAAACATACAAGATACAAACAAAAAGATACAAACAAACAAGAAACAATCAAACAAAACAAGCAAAATATATTCAAAACAAGACACAAACAAACAACACAAACAAACACGGTACTAACAAACAAGATACAAACAAACAATGTACAAACAAACAAGATACAAACAAACAAGATACAAGCAAACAAGGTACAAACAAACAAGATACAAAAAAACATGATACAAACAAACAAGATACAAATGTACAAGATACAAACAAACAAACATGCAATGCGACATAAAAGCATCATCATTTGGCCAGCAAAACAAACGGCATGCATCATATTTGATAAACGAATGTAAGAGTACAGCATGATTTATTGTCCTCATCCTCTCTCTCTCCTTTCTCACCATCTTGCCATCCAGTTCGGCCTCCATTGTTGTCATCTTCCTCATCATCATCCTCTTTGATGTCGTCATCATCGTTCTCATCTTTTTTATGATATCATTATCGTTGTTATCATCGCTATAATTAATTTCAACATTATTGTTGTCATCTTCGTTATCATCATCATCATTAAATTATCATCATCATCATCACATCATCAGCACTGTGTAATCAAATATATTGTTTCTCTATTGTTTTTATCATCTTCTTCTTCTTCATAATGATTATCATCATCATCATCGTTATCGTCATCAAAATTTAACTTTTTGGTCCCAAAAACTTGCAAAAACAAGTATTGATTTGTGTGGGAATGATTATCTGATGCAATCTTTTTGAGGAAAGGTCTTAACTTCATCCTTCCAGATTTTCTTCCTTTCAAAAATGAACATCTATTTTAGAGACTTGAATAACGGAATATTAAATTTATTTTTTTTTTGCAATAATTCAATGAATTTATTTTTGTATTTTTCTAGCTTTTCATTTTTCTTTAATTTTATCAATTCACAAAAAATGTTTTTTAACTAAAATTATTTTTTTTCTTGAAAACTTTATTAATACGAACTATTTATTTAGTAAGATGTTCAAACTGTTTCCAGTAAAACCATCCATACATAAATAGTTGGTTGATAATGCATGCATTCTCTATACACCTGGAAAAACTTAATGAGAATAACAAATAATAAAGAATGCACGCCAAACGAACACGCAGAGTCAGTACAGGAGACGATATGTCAGTCGCATTATTTCCGACCAAAGTGTCCGTCCGTCGATGACGTCATCATCGTTGAAAAGGCCAGGTGAGAAGTTGCAAATCTCTTTTTTTGTAAATTAGTTAAAAAATCACCTTTTAAAAATCACTGAACAAAAATACAAACTGTCTTTGAAATGCATATAAGCCTAGCACTTTTAACACAAGAATGTGTAAGGAATATGAACGCTGAAATAAAATGTAACGACGAAGTGACAGTTGGGCAGTTTAAAAATTAAAAACTTTTAAAATATGAAATTTAATATTAATAAATATATATTACCTTCTTTGAAACATTGTTCTAAAATGAAAAAATATCGCTATAACACTCCGTGACCAAAGGTACGGCCGATTGGAAAAGAGTAAATGTGTGACACAGGCATTCGACTACATCAACTGCTTCGAGGATGTCCTGCATGTCATGGACAGCTTCTGCTCCAACAGAAGGTCATGTGAGGTCAGAATTCTAGATGAGAACTTCAACTACTTGAAGCCGTGTCATGAAGATTTGAAGTCCAATCTGGATGTCCAGTACAGATGTGTTGCAGGTCCTGTTCGCGTTGTGCTCCATTATCGTACATGCTTGGTTTATTTTTTACAGTTTCTGATGTTGTTGTTGTTGTGTTGTGTTACAATTGCGATTTGGCTGTTTTTGTTTTTTACATTTTTTTCGGCTGTTGTCTTGTTTTATTGTTTGTGATGCAGTTGACGTTGAACTGGATGTTTTCAAAACTAGTTGATGTGATACAATGTGTTTTAATATTATTTTATGCTATTGTTAATCTTGGTTCATGTAAATTATATAAATGTGTTATATGTTGTTAATTAAAATGTTGTCCTTATTAAATTTTTTATGATTTGATAATGTTTTCTTACGAAGATGTTAACGCGTTAATTTTGAAATTAAAAATACAGTCAGTGTAAATAATAGTTTGCTTAATTTTTCGCAAGACAAGTAATGACATTCACTTTTCCTGTGCTTTCCAGCATGTTTTTTTTTATTTTTTATCATTTTTGACGAGTTCCATATTTTTATTCTAAATCATTCATCCATCTCTTGTTGATCCTTTCACATTTTCCAACCTGTTCTTTTTCCATTAGTACAATTTAAATTAGTCTGTCATTCGTTGCTCCGTAATTATGTTCAGAAGTCTTCAGTTTTAATAATTATGTGAAGTGAATGGGTCGCAACATTAGATCATTTTCTTTGCTTTCAAGTACTGCCTTGACAAAATTTTCCAAATTCTGTGCCATCTGTTGACACTTCGTTGAGTTTTATTGATGATTCGATCGTTTCATTCAACACTACAACATCTTCTGTGACAAAAATGAAAAATATTTTGATTTAGTCTTTGAATTGCTACAAACGTCATCCATTTTTATTTACATATTTTGTATTGTAGTCATTTCTTTTTTATAACATACATCTGAAAATTTCATGATCCTTTTTCATGTATTATAGTTTGAGTTTGAAACATGCATTTTTTCACTTTAAATATTTATAATCTATTTTTTTCTCCTTTTTCTTTCTCTTCCCATAATATTTTAAAATCTACTGCAATGTCATCAGCACCAATCCTATCCTTCCATTTCAGACAAAACTTTAAACAGTTAGTACAACCTTCACGTCAGTTACAATCAAACAACACGCGGTGAAACAAAGCGAATGAATGCCTAACATCATTATTAACATAAAAGCGTGTGCCAGCGTTAAATAAAATTAAACAATTGAAAAAAACACTCTCCAGTGCCATACTTCCACTAACAACGAACATATATTGATTTCAGTATTGACAATAAAACGGCCATCAATGAGGAACGCCGCCGCTAACGCTACCTGCCTCACTGCTCATGTTAACACGCCTCGTGGCTACATTGCCGCTTCGCCATCCTCATCTTTCACATCGTCAGCATCATCTTCGTCCTCATCTTCTCCATCATCGTCGTCATCATCTACGGAGTTATTTTCATCACCGTTTTCCTCAATACCATTGTCATCATCGTCGTCGTCATCGTCACCATTTATATTCGGATGTCCATCCTCTTGGCTGGTCTCGGCAGAGATGGGTCAGCAGATTCAAATTCATCTTTTGGATTTCTCATCCTCCGCTCGCCTGCATGCTTCCGTGAGTTGTTTACTCTGCTTCTCTTCTGTTCTGATGTGTTGTGTGGTGTGGTGTGGTGCTGATGTGGATGACGATGATGTTGAAGATGAAGATGATGGGAAAGATGAAGATGATGAGGAAGATGAAGATGATGGAGAGATGAAGATGATGGAGAGATGAAGATGATGGAGAGATGAAGATGATGGAGAGATGAAGATGATGGAGAGATGAAGATGATGGAGAGATGAAGATGATGGAGAGATGAAGATGATGGAGAGATGAAGATGATGGAGAGATGATGACGGTGATAATTGTGATGGGATTGCAATCATGAAAACGACAACGACGGTAATGATAATAATGTGATGAAAACGACGACGACGACGATGATGATGATGATGATGATGATGATGATGTTGATGATGATGATGATGATGATGATGATGATGATGATGTTGATGATGATGATGATGATGATGATGTTGATGATGATGTTGATGATGATGATGATGATGATGATGATGATGATGATGATGTTGATGATGATGATGATGATGATGTTGATGATGATGATGATGATGATGATGTTGATGATGATGTTGATGATGATGATGATGATGATGTTGATGATGATGATGATGTCATTGAACGCCGATTAATTACTCAATGTAGTGAAGTAGGATGATAATAAAATGTTCTTTCGACTTGCGTGCCGGTCAAATCCGTGGCAGTTTCAATTGAATTTCGTGTCATGATGAGATGTCTTTGTTTCTTACATGATAATCTTAAAACCTTTTCAGTATTCATATTTACGTTTGAAATTCATTTCTTCAACTTTATTAAAAATTAATCCTTAGCTTTTATTAAATTGATTTAAAACAATTCATTCATTCAGAAAATATTTTGTAGTATTAATGCATTAATGTTTTACCATCGCGTAATTTATTTGTATTAATACTTTTGAAACTTTTGTTTTCAAAATGAAATAGCCAACCATTCACCAAAGCAACCAAATATTTAACTACACTCATGAACACACTGGCAGAACTCACAAAGAAATTCTTCCTTACATTCGAGATTCGCCAACAGATATCAACAACATGAAAACAACAACAACAATGACAACAACAACAACAACAATAACATTGATGCTACAAACAGCAACGACAACAACTTCAACAACCACAACAACGTAAATTGCCGAAAGTATGGAGACATATACGAAAACGGTTTGTGTTAAGATTGCTGAGGTGATTGCAGAGTTAATTAACCTGAACTTCACAATCGATTTTCGTCTTTCTGCTGTCGCTGTGGTCGTTGTTGTTGTACTTGTTCGGCCGCAACTCACATATTTCATTTAATATTTACATATATTTTTTTTATATTCTGTTATTTAATTCTTTAAATTTACAATATTGATAATAATTGAAGACTGCTAAATTGATTCTATGCCTAAAATTTTAATTATTTAATTATATGACCATGTCATATGATAGAAAAACAGTCATAATTACCCTACTGGTCAGAAAGGTCACTGGTTGCACTAGAGTTATTTCCAATCGTACAATCAATAGCACACGAAATAAAATCATATTTGAAATTTATTTAAACATTCAGAAACAAACTGATAAGTTATGAAATAATAGATAGATGAATAAACGAATCGATGGTTAGATGGATGGGTGGATTAATGGATGGATTGATTGGATAAAAGGAAGAAAAAATAATGGATAGACAAGATATGGAAAAAATAAAATAATCAAATGAGAGATAGATAATAATGGCAAATTGATGTAATAATACATAGGCTAATTGATGTAATAATGATTTTTTCAAAAAGATAAAATATTAAAAAACAGTCATGTTAAATACACGTAAGAAAATGTTTGATTGAAACAGTAGCAGAAGACGCAAGCGAGCCATTCAGCCAAATCGACGACAAGAACTTCCTCCAGCACAAAACATCCATCTGTCCATCGACCTCCAGGGTCACCTGGTTATATAGGTCAACATCGAACTTGGTCAAAGTTCAATTGCTACCACGTGACTTCAACAAACAGATGATGCACGCATCCTATCTTGTACATTTTGAAGGTTTACGTACGGTTTGTTCGTTGTTTGTTACATCATGACAATCCATTACAACTCAACTACTTATTACAACAGCTCAAATACTACAAATTACAATACCAACTCAACAACCCATCATAACAACTCATTACAATCTACCTTCCAAAGGAACATTGGTTCAAATATCATCAACTGCAGAGCTCAAACTTAATGAAGAAAATTTATTAAAATTTTTTAGGAAGCAGAAGTTCTTAGGGCTCAATTAAAATTCAAAAATAAAAAAATTTCAGTTTAAACATTTTACGTACAAAGCAATAAGTTATGAAAGAAACAATCACATTTGATCGCTCGTGGCAATTTAATTGATGAAGTTTCTAAGAAGTTCCTGGCGCTTCACAAGGTTAAGAATAAACTTGTACGTTTGGCTTGGTAGCTGGTTGGATGGAAACTTGTTTGTTACATGCCCAGGCAATCATATTACTATATAGTTCAATAAACGAAAGGTGAAAAATATCTTTTTTTTCTTCCACATATCCATCTTTCCACCTAAACGCTTTATTACCGATGTTTAATGATTCCTCAATCTGCTAACTATAACTGCCATGCTTCAATGTTTTCATTCATTTATCAGTCATTCACCTTTCAGTCCATCCTTGACTAAACATTTCGGCCAATAAACAGTTACTCACACACACATACACGCACACATACATATACATACATACATACACACACATACACACAAACACACACATACACACACTCACACACAATTCCTGATGCAGTGATTGGCTGCGCAAACATGGAACCCCTACCCAGCATGCACATGGAAAGGAGAGGTGATGTTCTTCTGGTCAGCTGTCTGACGTCATCAGTCACGTGGTACATGCACTGCCGACATGGGCAGTGGATAGGCGAGTGGAAGAACTGCAGTGAGGATGGGTTTTGTCGATTTTGTTGTAATTGTTGCTGCTATTGTTGGTCGTGTTTTTGTTTGGGTCATTATTATTGTTACTATTATTATTATTTAATTATTTTTGTTGTTGTTTTCGTTGTTGTTGTTATCATTAAATAACATAGCGTTAGAGCGGAAATCATTAATCGCTAATGACACATCACTTAATCAGCAGCAAAAATCAATCCATTAAAAAACTTCCTGCAACAATATTACATTAACATTGAATAGGCACATCAACAATAATCATCTCGTCAACACAACAACACATCAACAGCAACAACACATCAGCAACAACAGTACATTAATAACAAAACATCAATGTCAACACGTTAACAACAACACGCAAAAAGTGAGTCAGTGAGTCTTAACAACAACAGACTGCCAACAACAACAACAACACAACAATAAGTATACACAAAACATAGCAGCAAAGTAACGCCATAACATCGATATAACAGTAATGTAACAATAATATGACATCAATAATGAAACAAAGGTGATTTGATGACATCATCGGAAGCGCAACGAAAAGCTGTCACAATTGTATCGTCAGGTAGGATCGTTCATCTGTGTATGTGTGCGTGCGTGCGTGTGTATGCGTGTGCGTGCGTGTGGTGTGAATGCCGTTATAAACGATGTTCCCATAGTTACAATATTTGCTACTGTTATCGTGTTGTTGTTAGCGTTGCATAATCGCTGTGATGTTTCGACTGTTAATGTCATACGAGTTGTCACTATAAAAGTCATTAGTTTTATATCAGTTGTCGTGGGTTGCTGTGATTTACATTGATGTGACAAGCAAGGCTGCTTTTTGTTGGAAAGAATGTCAAGCAAGTTAAAACTTTGTGTGCTATCTAGATATTCTGAATGAATTAAGATTATAAATCTGGTTACATGGTTGGTGATAACCTGTTGATGATAACGAATCAATTGAATAAGTTTCAAACAACTTTATAAAAAAAACAATTCGCGATTTAAACTGAACGATGAATAAATAAGTTTATTAGCAAGTTCTTCCACCTCCCCGGAGTTTCTCAAATAACTGTCCGATTTGAAAATAAAGCCAACCTCGCAGTAATGGGCCAATAAATCTTCCATCGCATCCAAATTAATGACATTCACGTTTCTTCATTAGGAAAATATTTGCCTGCTTTGCATGGGACTGACAAAAAACTATGTAGAGTGTGGGAAGAAATAGTTTTTGCTGTTCTTAGGCAACAGTCTTTGAATCAAACTTTTTTTTTCCAATGTTCGAATTTTATTGAACATATGTGTGAGAGCGTATGTGTTGTTTAGTGTACATTGTGTACAGTCGAACGAGTTTGTGTTAGGTGTATGTTTTAAAGTTTGTATGTTTGTTTTTATGTCTGTGTGGGTATGTGTGTTTGTGAGTGTGTTTTTGTGCAAGCATTTCTGTGTGTAGGTTT